CCGCGCTGTTGTATGGATCTGAATCATGGGTACTTGCGCAAGCAGATGAGCCAGCTCTTGGAGTGTTTGAGAGAACAATTCTCTGGAAGATCTATCGCCATCGAATGAACCATACCATCTATTCTCTGACATCGACATAGTCAGACGTACCGAGCTGCAGCGACTACATTGGCTAAGCCATGTTGTGAGAATGGATGAAAATTCCACGGCTCAATAGGCATATAAAAGCGAGCCATGTGATGGTTCACGCAGAAGGGGAAGGTCACGAATCCGATGGAAAGATTAAGTAGAAGAAGAAGGAAAATGGTCTTTCAAATTGGATGAGACGCGCTTGGAAATCTTGGAACAACAGTTCTGTCACAAGCCATCTAAGTAAGAAATAGTGATTTTAACAAATGGTTTTATTCTGAACAAGAATATCTGTACATAGTGACCTATTTTGGAATGAAATAGCTAACAAGCCTGCACGAGTTTCCTTTTTTGAAAAAGACGAGCGCCGTCAAAATGTTCGAAAAATAGTAAGTGTTTACTCTAAGAGTGAAATCGACTGAAAATATAAAATTTATTTTTCCCGATTTGTGTGTTCGTTTGTGTATGTAGAGTAGCAAACGGGTTTCGATGTTGTTGTACTGATCTGGCAATACACTGCGTATCATAACTATAGACGCACCCTTAATTCAATTGGAATGTTAGTTGACAAATAAAATGGACCCATTATGTTATTGTTCACAATAAAAAGATCAAAAACACATATTATTCAACAAAAATAATTAATTTATTCTTTATGGTTTCGCCGAATTCTGCACTTTCAAAATTGCTGGTGTTGCATAACTATAGACGCAATTTTACAATATTACAAAAATTTATTTTTTAAAACTTAAATAAAATAAAATAACTTTTATAAATAATGGGTAGGGCCTCCCTTATTTTGAATAAGTTCAAAAATTTTATCCATCACACTGTTGAGCAAAATTATTCGCATGTCTTCATCGATTGACCGCCATTCATCGATAATCACTTCTTGGAAATAAAGTAATGTTTGGTATTGGAGGTTTTCTGCATAGACACGATGAGTCAAGATTCCACACATGTTCTCGATCGGATTCTGGTCGGAAATTTTAATATTTTTCGATTTTAACCATACTTGAGTATGGCGACTTTTATGAACTGGCGCGTTGTCCTGCTGAAAAACGAGTCCTTGATTGTTGCTGCTTTCCCAAAATTGCAATAATTTGTCTTCCAAGACTTGAACGTACTCCATTGAATTCATCCGACAACATGGAAATGTCAAATAAAGCATTCCGCGGCTATAAAGCATCGGGGAAAGCAGCTACTATGATTAATAAACGTAGTTCTTTGTGGTACAAAAAGTCACACAATTGTTTTTGTACTTGAAATTGAAATACTGTCAAAATGACCGCCTTCGGCAATCTAGTGTTAAAGCAATTGTGACTACTGTATGAAGATTGTTAAAAAATGTCTCGGTATGAAAGAATATAATTTCGATTCCAATCAAATTTGGAAACTTACGAAGATATGAACAATGCCAATCTTTGGAATATACTCAATAGGGTTATGACTTTTTTTCAACTTCGTATATTTTTAAGAATTTTTACATAAGATTAAATAAAATCTTAATGATTTGAATATTTTTGATTTGTAAGATTTTTTTTTGAGTCATCTTCAGCTAATATATAACTACCACAAGGTTTAGAGCCACACGAAATGGCAAAGCAAATTATATCCCATGAAATATTTTTAATTGTAAAAAAATAATAAAATAGTCTACCCAATTAACTTATAATGCAAATTTCCCTGAAAATGTTTATCTATGGAAAAATGTACACATGTACATTAGTAACAAGTTTAGATACATTGCAAATATAACTTATATTTATTACAAAAAATGGTGTATTATATGACAATAATAAATCAATAAACATAATATAAAACTTAACTATATTAAAATTGGCACAATTAATTCTAAAAATTAAATAATTTTTCTAGTATCTAGGTAATTCCGAATAACGAGGTGGTGTAGACCAAAAGGCACTGGATCTTCGTTTTAAATAGCGAGCATGAATTTTGGGGAACATTACCTGTAGGTCTGGCGTCATGGGCTGAATGGAGAAGAATGAGTCAACATAATCTGGTGGAGTGTATTCTTGTTTCAAGACATGTGGTCCACGATTACACGCTGGAAAAGGGAAGGGATATTAATATAGTTTTTTAAAAAAATTAATTTTTGTTAACAAATTTGTAGAATTATTGATATACATTAACATAAAAAATGTTTATATTATAGAAAACTTTTTAGAAAATAAAAATGAAATTTCATAATCAAAAAATTCGTAAATAATGTTCGTAACTGTACGAATAATACATACACAAACTCCATGATGGTGGCGGCGGACGTTTCTTAGAAGTGATAATATTATCATCATCAGATTCATCATCGGTAGGGTCATCTTCGTGTAACATTTCGAATGTATACTGAGGTTCTTTTGGTGGTGATGGCGGCGGAGGTATTTGTTCTTGTCCCAGATCATTTTTATTTTTACATCTCTGTCGTGTACGTGATGCTACTGGAGAATTTTTACATTCTGCCTCTTTTAAATGTCCGGCTTTTGTGAATGCTGGACCAGGCTTCTTTTTCTGTATTTGTTTGTCTTTCAAGGACATCGATTCCACATGGTTGCCTAAACCAGACTCAGCTACAAGTGGCATTTTATTTCTAAAGCAATATATGGGAAATAATTATTTATTACTTTCTGTCGTTTTAGAAAAAAAAAATAGAAATTATACCTAATTTTTATTATTTTCTCTAATTCTTTGAAAATTTTTCTAACTTTTGCGACAGAATTAAATCGAACTATTCTAGACAGCTTCGCTGTTTAGGGATTTAAAACGTAAACAAATGTTTTTTTCTGTATTTTAGGCGCTTCAAATTTAGTGTTCGGTTACTTAACAATATTGAATATCGGTTACTGCGTCTAGTTATATGCCACATGTACATTACGTCTTGCAATAATTATAAAGTATATATGTCGTCTCCCATTAGGGATCTGTACTGTAGGTAACAACTTTTCATATATAACTCATTTTTCGCCTTCGTCATTTTAAAATAACATAAAAATATCGGTGAATTTTTATAAATCTATACTAATAAAAGTGATTGACTGACTAACTTAACGATTCATCAACGATTCGGACTAGAACGGTACGAAAAGTACTAAATATGGTACCATTTTGTATTTGGCAAACCGGAAGAACTCTTAAATTAGAAAGAAGGGTCACTGATGGAGTGTTAAATAAATATAGCAAGGGAATTTTTGCACATTCGAACTATAAGTATGCGGTTTTGAAAGTTCTCATGTTTACGAAAAGTACTATATTTAGTACAAATCGAGCTGGAATCCTGAAAATTGAAATTAACATTACCATCGGAGGGTAGGATTAGGATATGTACGTAGTTTTGGAAATCTTTTACTTATGTGTTCGAAAAGTACTAAATCGTGCTACAATTGATACAATTTGGATTTGGGTGAACCGATAGAGATGGAACAATGAAATTTGGAGTCAGGATCACAGTTGGGGTGTGAGCCTGACTCCAAATGTGTACTAATGTGTACTAAATTTGGTACAATTTGAATTGTGGGTGAACCGATAGGGTTGGAATCCTGAAACTTGGATTTAGGATGACTGTTGGGGTATGAGATTGAGATATGTAGGAAGATTTTGAAATTTGTGCTAATGTGTACTAAATTTGGTAAAATTTAAATTGTGGGTGAAGCAATACAATGAAGTGCAGGATTGGGGTAAGTGGGAAGTTTTGGAAATGTCTACTAATGTGTACCAAATTTTGTACAATTTGGATTTAAGTGAACCCATATAGCTGGAACATTGAAATTTGCAAATAAGATTATTGGATGGATATGGATGTAGTTTTGGAAATTTGTACTTATGGGTACTAAATTTTGATACAACTTGTGTTTAGAGCTGGAATAGTAAACATTTGAAATTAAGATTGCCGTTGTAGTATAGAATTGAGGTTTGTAGGTAGTTTTGTGAATTCATACTTATGTGTACTAAATGGTACTAAATTTGGTACAATTTGAATTTTGGAAGAACCGATAGAGCTAGATTCCTGAAATTTGGTGTTAGTTAGGGTGTTGGATTGGTGAATGTAGGAAGTTTTGGAAATGTCTAATAATGTGTACTAAATAGCGCTAAATTTGGATTTAGAGTGAACCGATAGAACTGGAATCCTACAATTAGGTAATTCCTGAATTACAAAATTTGTACATACGTTTTAAATTTGATACAATTAGGATTTAGGTGATAGAGCTGGAATCCTCGAATTTGGAGTAAGGAATGTGGTATGTGGGAAGTTTTGAAAATTCGTACTTATTATTGTTATGGTATGTGGCATGTCTTAATTACACAAGGTTGTCTCATGCAGGTATATAATTCCAATTTTTTCATAATTTTACTTTTGACAACATTCAGCTTTCAAAATTTAAATGAAAATAATTTTTCAATCATTTGAAATTGATAGATGAGTTCCAAATTAAAAAGGGTTGCCATTATTAATTTCTCAAATGAGACTACCTTCTGTAATTATGCCATGGCTATATAGTTATGGAAATTTATATTAATGTGTACTAAATTTGGATTTGGATGAACCCATGGTACAATAACACAAGGCAGTTTGAGTTGGATAACAAAAAAACAACTATCTAGGTGGTGGTTTCTTCAACACATAACTAAAAACGGGAAAAATTAATGAAAGATTGTGATTTCTTTCCAAAATCCAGTAGGGATAACATGACCAATTTTATTGTATCCGTTTCTATACTCCTGTACACGGGTTCGACCGATTTTGATTACGTTCATCTAAATATCCCATAAAAGTCAATTTATCGATTAGACAGACAAAAATCGACTTCCAAAACCCTAACGCACCGTTCGTGTGGAACTGTCAAAATCTGTAGAGTGAATTTTGTTGATAATTTTACATAACCGCAACTTGCACACGAGAATATTTCCTTTCATTTTTGAATAAAAACCTTTGCAGTTTTACAAAATGATTGCTTCCCGTTTTGTGTTAAGACAGCTGGCCTGCAATGCAACACGCCGCATGTTCTCAGCTGAGGCTGCTGCCGCCGCCACCGAAGGTGCAAAGAATCTTACACCACCACCTCCAGAAGGTGTCGCCAAGCCGGTTAATCCAAAACTTGAAAGTATTGCCAATAGCATAGCTGGACTTAACCTATTGGAAGTATCCGAACTCAGTGCATTGTTGAAGAGTAAGTTGAACCTGCCCGAAACATCATTCATGCCACAAATGGCTATGGGTCCAGCTAGGCCAGCTGCTGCAGCCGAGGAAGAAGAAGAAGCTGCCCCCAAAAAAGTACAAACTTCTTTCAAAGTGAAACTTGTCAAATTCGATGAGAAACAAAAGGTGGCACTAATCAAGGAAGTTAAGAATCTGTTGGAGGGCATGAATTTGGTACAGGCCAAGAAATTCGTTGAAAGCGCCCCAACAGTTGTTAAAGACGATATTCCCAAAGACGAAGCTGAAAAACTTAAAGAAGCCCTAACAAAGGCTGGTGCTGTTATTGAAATTGAATAAATAAATAGAATAAAATCGATTGGGATATTATTTCTATTGTAATATTTTGGTTAATATTTTAAGTTCTAGTACCTACATCATCCATATGCTTTGCATCGGTGAAATATTGTTATCCAACACAACTACATAATTTGTTTTTCGGAAGACGTTGTAGTCTATAAAAATTAATAATAAATCGAAACAAAAAGATTATGAAAAATTTAATGATTTTAAAATAATTTAATAGGACTTAATAATTTCGGAAGACATTAAAATTGTTGTTCAAATCGGTATAACGTATTGGAAATGCTTTCGGTAGCCCCCTCACCACAGTGTCTCACAAATTTCATTATTAAGTCACATACTTCGTTTTTAATTGACTATAACTTAGTATTTTAGATTGTAAAGTTTCCTCCCGAATATGAATAGTGGTCCATTTTTTAGGATTTTGGGGATTATGGGTTTTGTATGAAGATTTGTTAGAGTCAATTCGGTTAGGCTCTAACCATATACAAATAATGGAAGTCCACACTAACTAAAGTGATCTCACTGTGCTACAGGGTATTATGTCGTTGTGCATATGTTGGTAACAGGAAAAACGAAACGAGATAGACAAGTTCCTTTTGAGAATATGCATAGAATTACTTTCTGAGACGATTTATTCCGTTCGTCGGTCTATTTGAATTGTAAACAATATACAGGACGCATTTATGATCCGAATTGGATGAAATTTGGCCCTAGCTGGAACTCTATTGAAATTGGGAAAAATCGGTTCAGAATTACAAATCGTCAGCTAAAAGGCAAAAAAGCGTAACTAACAAAAAATTGAAAATTGACTTTTTGAATGAATATTGTGAATGTCAATAAACTACATGTGTTGACAAAGTTTTACACGTCTGCGGCCAAAAAAGGAGCTTCTATTAACAAAAAACAAAAAGACATAACTACAAGTGGGTTTATTTTTTAAATGCAAAAAGGCGTAACTAACAAAAAATTCACGTTTTTACTTAATTGTTATGACTGCCATTAAACTAAATAACTCAATATGTTAAAAAAAGTATAGTATATTATTCGTCATATGCAATATCACCCTGCCGGGCATACTTTTACATTTCACATGACATGTTTATAGTTTTCATTCAAAACTGTTTTTTGCTTCTCCTACACAATTATGCTTTTGTTAGTTACGCCTTTTTGCATTTTAGCTAACGATATAACACCCATATACATTTTCGTTCGATATTTAGTGAACCATTTCCCAAAGACCCAAAGTTAGTCCGATTGATACAAAATTTGGCACAGCGTACTGAATTCAGTATATCTAAACGTATATCAAGTTTTGTTGGAATCGGTTCAGATTTATATATAGCTTCTATAAATATTTTCGTCCAATTTTAAGTAAATGGTACACCAAAGACACAAAGTTAGGCCGATTTTGTTGTAATTGGTTCGGATTTAAAAATAGCCCCTTGTATATATTTTTGTCCGATTTTTATTAAGCTAACGTCCAAAAGTTAGGCCATTGATAACATTTAGCAAAAGGTACTGAAGCCAGTATAACCTTACGTGTGGAATGTTTCGTTGAAGTCGGTTCAGATTTAGATATAGCTCACATACATATCGTCCGATTTTAAGTTAATGGTGATAAAATGGGTTAAAATTTGGATATAGCTCCCATATACATATATTTTCGTCCGAACACACTTGCTCTGTTTCCGAACCTGCAATCTATTAGTTGAAATTATTTTCAATATTCTTTTTCTATATTTTGGCCCGTCTTTATCAGCATATACGAAAATATGCATAAGCTGACCGTCGAAATTGATAGTATTTTTGTTGGGTTAACCTACTTTATGAGGATATTTGACATATTTGCAAAAGAATTGACAATTGAAACCCACTGAGTTAACGAAATCCGGTTAAATGTAAACGTACTAATTAACAGACATTCGAAAATGATTTCTATAAATAGAAGATTTTCGTAGGTTCTATTGAAAAAAATTCTTATGGGAAAGGAATATATTGGCGAATATATTGCGAATTTATATATGCGAATTTTCGAAAATGGTGATTGAAATTGATTTTCTTTTTAAAAATTGTTATTTTGTATTGTTATTTAAATTATACATGTAAAATATAATGAATCCGTTGTAAAAATTATTTGTAATTTAAAGAAAATAAATTAGAGTTTAAAAATGTGGCAACATATGACGGTATGTGAAACAGCTGTTTGTAGTACAACAGAATACAGATAAAAGAACATTTTTTATGATGGCAAACACCGCATCACTGTCAAACCGTCAAAGACACAACGAATAATGGGAAGAAATCTGAAAGAAATCACAATTATGTGTGAAATTTATCTCTCAAATTCTTAAAATGGTCAATTATTTCACGATATGCGCCTCATCCTATATTTCGTCCTTCAAATCATGCACACGATAAATTTGAAAGAAAAAATATTTTTCTGTAGTTTTATTATTGTTCTTACTGCAAGAATCTACAAGTTTTTACTATTTTTGTCGATATTATAACGGAAAATTTGTTGTCGTAATAAAAAGTAGTAGATTCTTGCAGTACGGGAACAGACCTATAATTTTTATTTGAGTTTTTCACTATTAAGTCTGCTTTTCCACAGGCAGATTTTTATTTGGCAAATTTTTTGTTTTCTCTTTTGAAATTTTCGCTTACTTTTCCATTAGCAAATTTTTCTTTGCCAAATTTGCGAATCAAAATGCAAAAGAAAGAAAATAAAAGTCAAAAGTGCTTGCATTTTAAAGATTTTTTTTAATATTTCATTTATTTTTTATATATTTTATTATATAAATTGCAAAAATTAAAAATTAAATTTCACTTGCACAAATTAAAGCAACAGGTTTGTAAACAAAAGCCGGCTGTGTGTCAGTAAAGCGAATAAGTTCAAAAGGAAATGTCAACAAAATTGTTTTCAACGAACAGAGCAAAGCAGAATTTGCGTGTACGGCAAATTCTGAACAGGCAAATTTTTGTTTTTCTTCCTCGCACCTCTCTCGCCTACAAACTCAGTATTTGCCAAATAAAAATTTGCCTGTGGAAAAGCAGACTAAGCGGCTCATCAGGCAAATTTGGCTATGTGGTTTTCCATAATTTTTAATATTTTTTTCTAAAGAGACAGATCTTCACACAAAATGTTTTTATTTAACCTCCTAACTGTATCAATCTCGGCTTAAATATTCCTTATTGCCTTTATACCATGATGCAATTATAAGGTGATGTAACACAACAAAAACCTTTATTTTTGTCTCGATCATCTGTCAAAATTTTCCTTATAATATTTAACATGGTTGGCAACATTGCACATCGAATTCAAGTAGAAATTACGCTCTTTGACAGTTAATCAAGACATCAGCTGAAATTATTTTCAATATTCTTTTTCTATATTTTGGCCCGTCTTTATCAGCATATACGAAAATATGCATAAGCTGACCGTCGAAATTGATAGTATTTTTGTTGGGTTAACCTACTTTATGAGGATATTTGACATATTTGCAAAAGAATTGACAATTGAAACCCACTGAGTTAACGAAATCCGGTTAAATGTAAACGTACTAATTAACAGACATTCGAAAATGATTTCTATAAATAGAAGATTTTCGTAGGTTCTATTGAAAAAAATTCTTATGGGAAAGGAATATATTGGCGAATATATTGCGAATTTATATATGCGAATTTTCGAAAATGGTGATTGAAATTGATTTTCTTTTTAAAAATTGTTATTTTGTATTGTTATTTAAATTATACATGTAAAATATAATGAATCCGTTGTAAAAATTATTTGTAATTTAAAGAAAATAAATTAGAGTTTAAAAATGTGGCAACATATGACGGTATGTGAAACAGCTGTTTGTAGTACAACAGAATACAGATAAAAGAACATTTTTTATGATGGCAAACACCGCATCACTGTCAAACCGTCAAAGACACAACGAATAATGGGAAGAAATCTGAAAGAAATCACAATTATGTGTGAAATTTATCTCTCAAATTCTTAAAATGGTCAATTATTTCACGATATGCGCCTCATCCTATATTTCGTCCTTCAAATCATGCACACGATAAATTTGAAAGAAAAAATATTTTTCTGTAGTTTTATTATTGTTCTTACTGCAAGAATCTACAAGTTTTTACTATTTTTGTCGATATTATAACGGAAAATTTGTTGTCGTAATAAAAAGTAGTAGATTCTTGCAGTACGGGAACAGACCTATAATTTTTATTTGAGTTTTTCACTATTAAGTCTGCTTTTCCACAGGCAGATTTTTATTTGGCAAATTTTTTGTTTTCTCTTTTGAAATTTTCGCTTGCTTTTCCATTAGCAAATTTTTCTTTGCCAAATTTACGAATCAAAATACAAAAGAAAGAAAATAAAAGTCAAAAGTGCTTGCATTTTAAAGATTTTTTTTAATATTTCATTTATTTTTTATATATTTTATTATATAAATTGCAAAAATTAAAAATTAAATTTCACTTGCACAAATTAAAGCAACAGGTTTGTAAACAAAAGCCGGCTGTGTGTCAGTAAAGCGAATAAGTTCAAAAGGAAATGTCAACAAAATTGTTTTCAACGAACAGAGCAAAGCAGAATTTGCGTGTACGGCAAATTCTGAACAGGCAAATTTTTGTTTTTCTTCCTCGCACCTCTCTCGCCTACAAACTCAGTATTTGCCAAATAAAAATTTGCCTGTGGAAAAGCAGACTAAGCGGCTCATCAGGCAAATTTGGCTATGTGGTTTTCCATAATTTTTAATATTTTTTTCTAAAGAGACAGATCTTCACACAAAATGTTTTTATTTAACCTCCTAACTGTATCAATCTCGGCTTAAATATTCCTTATTGCCTTTATACCATGATGCAATTATAAGGTGATGTAACACAACAAAAACCTTTATTTTTGTCTCGATCATCTGTCAAAATTTTCCTTATAATATTTAACATGGTTGGCAACATTGCACATCGAATTCAAGTAGAAATTACGCTCTTTGACAGTTAATCAAGACATCAGCTGCTATTCACTTTGCCATGCTTTATACATTCCGTGGCAATATTTGGTTGAGTAGACATAGTTATCAATAGGATTTCCAATGGCATTTTATTTATTGTTTTTGAGTTAAAAATATACATACAACCATTAATAATATTCAAAATCGTAATAATAATCGCAAATATATATATATTTAATTCTTATATTTTTGTAGTCCCACTCCCTGTAATCCAGAATAACTATTTTTCCCCCAAAGCTGATTTTTTCGCTTTCGAACTCGATTCAGAATAGGGGGAAAGTGAAAATGCGAAAAAAAAAATTCGCTGCGAGTTCTGGTTCAGAATACCTTTAAAGGGAAGAGGGAAAAATTTCTCTGTAAATTGATGTCCAGAATATGTCTGCATAAAACGGCATTTACATTAGGATTTATTTGACATGTATACAATGGAATTGACAATTGGAACCCACTGGGTTAACGAAATCCGGTACAATGTAGACGTACTATAAGATTAATGTTAGGTTCCTAAACGGAAATAAATTGATATTCGTATGTTTTCATAGTCCTTTTTTCGCTTTATGACTTTATAACCATGAGCATTATTTTGTGTCACTGTTTAAAATATGAAACATAAAGGGCAAATTTTGCATTTACTATAGAACTAATTTTTTACTTAATTGATAATCTTATTTCGAAATATTTAAAAATATTGACCTATTCCAGTTCGTAGATTTTAAATATTTGTTGGTATTAATATGATTTGTGTCATTTTTCCTTAAAAACACCCAATTTTTAGACCTGATTCATATTCGGCCCAGTGTGCAATTAAACAGTAAACTGCTACTGCAACAAAGTTGTTTACATTTATAAAAAAGTAAACAACAAAAACAATGTTGTTTACATTTATTTGCCTCTACACATCATTGAATTTTTTATAGTAAACAAAACTTAATAAGAAAAAGCAACAACAAATATGTGACAAAATAAAAAAAAGAAAAAACAAATGCTAGTTTTAACAATTTGTTCAAAAGTCCAATTTATCCCCACACCGTCACATTTCACAATTTGGCATCCCTAAATAACAAAAAAATTAAATTGGCCCCTTTCGATGCGTCATCTTGCTATTACCCCGCCGAATGCCCTCGAACAACAATAAGCAATAAGAAAGAAAATCGCAAAGTAATATAAATAGACGAATGCTTGAAAACAAATCATTTTTTATTTATTTCAGACTTACAATACACAAGAGTTAGGTTATAAATATTTATTTTTTCATTTATTTGTTTTATTTGACGTTTTTATTTAGTTTCCACGGGTCTAGGTAAAAGCCGGTTGTTTGTTGATTGATAATGCAAATTAGGCTAGCTACCGCCACAGCACAACAAGAGTGAGATCCTCTTAGTGACCACGACCCCACCCAGAGATAGTGTATAAAACATATAGTATATAATAATTATGTTGACGATTCGCATTTATGCAGTGTTGTGTATGTTCAAGCGGAAAATATCATGAGCACAGAAGAAGGTTCCACCCAAAGGCTTGAGGACAAAGGTCTGGCAGTAGGCATGTGGTGGGTCTTCGTCGCACTGCAAACGACCCAGCACATTGATGAGGACACCGCCATCGAACATGGGCTGTGAGTCCACGGTTGTAATCACTCGGGAAATCTTCTGAAATGCCAGACTTGTGATTTTCTCCATGATTTTTGTTGCTCCCTGCATTTGAAGTCCTTCGAAGGTCATGAATGAATCAGTGGCACTGTAGAAATTGGCCACATTTGGTCGCTGCAATGGATCATCGAACATGGCGTAATATTGTTGGACAAATCCTTTGCCAATATCATCGTACAGCGGATTTAGAGCCATTATACAAAAGTTTGATTTGTATGTGAATGGATAGAGGTGTTAACAAAAATATTCGTCGTATAAAATTTCAGCACTTGATTCCGGGGGGGACACACAAAACGGTGATGCTGCTGCTTTTTGGCAAAAAAATAAAAACTAAAAATTCCGACAGACACGTTTTGCGAGATTCACTTTCAGCGAATTTGTTGTTGTTAATATGCAAAAATACAACTCTGTACAGCCATACAGTGATGGCGAATAACAGTGACAGTTGTGTGGATGGTGTTTAAAATGAGAAAGCAACAATGTTTGCAGGTGTTAGGGGTTGATTGGGGTACATAAATTATTTTATTAGTTTATTTTGTTAAATTTTATTTTAAAATTACAATATTTGCTTGTGTACTTTCATAAAAATCTCGTACATTTCATGGAGAATGCACATCTGCCGCTGGGAATTACAACCCTGTGTTTACATTTTGCTAATGACAGCTGACAGCTGTCAAAAAATACAACCCACCAAATTGTGTGGACTGCGTTGATCACATGACAGCACGTGAGACGTCATTGTGAATTTTACTAGTTCAGAGTGAATTTTTCTTCGTACTCCATCAACGTCGGAACGCAGCTGACTGGACTGGACCCTCGGAATAGATAGAAAAAACATTGCAATTCAACAAGAAAAATTGTGTGTATTTAAATTTGAAAAGATTCCTCTTGCAAGAAACAGTGTTTTTATTGATTGATTTATTATTGTGTGTTATTGCATTTTCTATAGCTGGAATTTTTCTAACTGGACGAGTGTGAAGAAATTCCAATCGGAACCAAAGAAAAACAAGTGAAAGCCATTTGTCAAAACTATCGCAAAAACAAAAAAAACAAGACAAAATGTCCATGAGTGCAGCTCAAGCTCAAAGGGAGCACGTCCTAGCCGTCTCCAGAGATTTCATTTCCCAACCAAGATTGAGTAAGTAGACAACGACGACGAACAAAATTTCTTGTATAGAATTTTACATTCGCAAAAAAAGTCTCAAGGAATTTTTGGTCTTCGACCAATTGAAAAAAAGTGCAATGTAAAGAGTACGTACTACAAAAACAACGAGTAGATGTCAAGATAGTGGTCGCCATATTATATTTTAACGTCGTATACACAGAGCAAGAAGGAGAGAGAGTGAGATGTGAATGGAAGAATGAAAAATGTATATTAACAGAAAAAGAGAGTAAGCAAAGCGTTACGTCGTTGGCCGTTTTGCATTGTGACCAAAAAAGAGACATTAAGATATCAAAAGGGGCCGAAAAAATCAATAGAATCTGTTCTTGCCAATAATTTTTATCCCATTTTTCTTCTTTTTTGTATATCCCCCCAAAAAAAAAATTGTAGCCACAGTGGGTGTAAAGATATTTATTGGCAGCAAGGTTAGAGCCTAGTTATTACTCTTCTTTTTGTTTTTCGATATTCGGCTGCTGTCATACGTGTAGTAACTACGATTTTTTTACTGGCTGACTGACTGAACGTCATGTGACTTGTTTTTGCTTGCTGTTTGTTAATGACAGCGAGAAGCTACCAATGTTTTGTTTTTGTTTCTAATCATGGGATTGTTTGAAAGAAACTCCCATTTAGTAAAAAAGGGTTAAGTTTTTTTTTTTTTTTTTTTTTTTTTTAAAAAGAAATGGATAGGAAATAAATAAAATAGGAATAGACAATATATATTAATTAATTTTTTATAGTTTTATACAAAAATTTGGGGTTTCTTTATAATTATAGGACTAAATAAGCCGCAATTTGGAAAAATCTAATTAACAAAAAAATATTTTATTGATTTGTATTATTCGGTAAATACAAATCAACAAAATATTTATTTTTTTCATTAAGCAGCACATTAAGTACTTAATTGGGAAAATATAAATATTATTTTTTTTCTTTAGAATGCTATTTCTTTTGAGGGAGGTTCCCTTCCAAATCTATATAATCATGGGACTATTTTTAATCTCTCCTCTACAAGGGGGGTTATATTAAAGAAAATATTTTTTTTTCTATTTTTTAAATAGGGAATTCAAAATTAAATTCATTTACTCTTCGTGGTGTTATACCTATCTTGTGTTGAGGAGAACCTAAATAATTATCAGATATTATGAAAATAATATTGTTAACATTTCCCAGGTTCCGAATTGATATGAATTAAGGATTAAAAATATATTATCTATATCTCCTACCCAATGGAACAAACCTAACATGGTCATTAAAAGCACAGAGAATTTGGTCCGTGTTTTGGTTTTACAAATGACATTGACTAATGATAACAAAATTTAATTATGGCTTTGAGATGTTTGCTTTGCCATTTTCCTATTCAGGCTTTTATTCCTAGAGATATTTCTCAATATTAGGTGTAGACTATGAGGTAGTGGGTTATCCGTATGTCTGTTAGGGTCACACAACAACTCTCTACAGGAATAATCAATTTGGTCAATATTTTGCTGCATATATTCTACCAAAAAATTTCTTATGATAATTGATAATCAAATGATCAGCTCGTAGAGAAATCAGAAACCTCTTATAGAATACCAATTTGTTTGCGATTTCTTTTTAATTTAAGAAGTCAGTTCCCTTTAGTGGCCCCTTCCAGGTAATTTTTCCCAGTAGTTGCTCTTTTGATTCATCTGGGTATCATACAGTATTCTATTCCGATTTAGCCAGCACGATAGAACTTTGAAATTACGATTACTATTACGATGGTTGGTACTACAACTCCCAGGACCTCTGTTTGGAATACATCGGTCCACGATTTGGTATAGCAGACGCCAGTTTTTCGCATTTTTAAGATTTCGTCCTGAAAAGGAAGTAATTTAGCATTTCGCGTTCGATGCTCCTGCGACGGTTTTTAATATAGGTGCATGGTTTTGTTCGTTTAGGTCCCATTTGCCAATTGAAGTGGGTGTAATTTGATATTTCGGGTTCTTAGTTTGAAGGTCCTTGCCTCTCAGGTAATTTACAAATATTTACCAGGAGTAGATATTTTGATTTTTATCTTCTTTTATTGCACATTTCATTTTCGGATTTAAACGGATTATAAATGGCTTATTTACAAGACGATTAAGGCCAAGCGGGAATCATACAGCATTCTATTCCGATTAACCCACACAATAGAACTTTGAAATTCATTCCGGCCATCAGTTCTAATTTCAATGCTCCTAATATTTTTCTGTGACAATTTCTAATACTGGTCCATGTTTTCGGTATTTTGATCGTGTAAGCACCATTTGTCAATTGTGGAAGTGGCTATAGTTCGGTATTCCCGTTTCTTAGTGAGTAAAAACTCTTGCGCAGACCATTCTCAATACACTACAATGTTCTGATATAGCTACCATATAAATATCTCATCCTATTTTCTGTGTGTTATATATATGAAAAATGCTTTAAAAATAGGATTGCAAGGCATTTAAGTTGTAATAATTCGTAAGCCATCAGTTCCCATAGCAATCAGTTTTTTAATATCTTAATGAAATACATTATTTACATTAATTTGATATTGGTGAAATATGCAATATACTGGCCAATACTGAAACCAATTTAAAAATAAAATACTGCTTGGAAATTATTACCAACTAAATGATTCCCCAAGCTCAAAGCGACCCATAAAGGACAAAAACTTTTTATATATACGACCACAGTTCAAAATTAGAATAGTTTTTTTTCAAGTTCCTTTAAAATTCTTCTTTAATTGTTTGAGTCCATTATTTTTTTTAATTCTTAACAAAATAGATTTTATTTCCATCTATAAAGTATTTCTTATCCCACTCTTCGAAAAATATAAATGGTTTTTCAGATTATTTCAACAAAATAATTTTACTTCGTAGATCGATTGATCTACAATTGTTTTATTTTGCCACCATTGGCATCTAAAAAAATTATTTTTAGCTCTTTTTCATAATATTTTATTTTTTTAAATTATTATTTATTCAAATATAGCATTAAAAAAATAACAATTTTGGCATCTCAAAAATATAGGTTATTTCACAGCTACTCCACACCCCCAACAACAAAAACCACACTTGTTATCAATTGTTATGCTCATTTTGGTTACTCTCTTATTATCTTTAAAATTATTTCTCCATTTTTGTTAGTGGTACAATAGTTATGAATAAGCACGTCTGTGTGTGAGGGGGGATTTGTTGACGATAAGTCAGCTGACTTGATTGTTACTTTATTTCTTTTGCTTTTCACACATTGACTTTGAAGTTATTCTTTTTTTGGTTAGCAGCAGCAATAGGGGTTTCTAATTAATTATGTTGACTCTGCTTATCTATGGGCACAATGCACAAAACTACTGGGTGATACGCTCTCTTTCTCACATGTCAAAATCAAATGATTAACATGTTTTTGTTGTTGCCGTTATATACTCTCTTTACATTTTGACAATTGTCATGTGAAACATACATTTATCTTAATTGTTGTTCTTTTTGTTTTGTTTTATTTTTATTTCAGCCTACAAGACTGTGTCTGGTGTCAACGGTCCCCTGGTCATTTTGGATGAAGTGAAATTCCCCAAATTCGCCGAAATTGTCCAATTGCGTTTGGCTGATGGCACCGTACGTTCCGGTCAAGTTTTGGAAGTCAGCGGCTCCAAGGCTGTTGTCCAAGTATTCGAGGGTACTTCCGGTATTGATGCCAAGAACACACTGTGTGAATTCACTGGTGACATTTTGCGTACCCCCGTATCTGAAGATATGTTGGGTCGTGTATTCAACGGTTCCGGCAAACCCATCGACAAGGGTCCCCCAATTTTGGCTGAAGATTTCTTGGATATCCAAGGTCAACCCATCAACCCCTGGTCTCGTATCTATCCCGAAGAAATGATCCAAACCGGTATCTCTGCCATCGATGTGATGAACTCCATTGCTCGTGGTCAAAAGATTCCCATTTTCTCAGCTGCTGGTTTGCCCCACAACGAAATTGCCGCCCAAATTTGTCGTCAAGCCGGTTTGGTCAAGGTACCCGGCAAATCTGTTTTGGATGATCATGAGGATAACTTCGCCATTGTTTTCGCCGCTATGGGTGTCAACATGGAAACTGCTCGTTTCTTCAAACAAGATTTCGAAGAGAATGGCTCCATGGAAAATGTGTGCTTGTTCTTGAATTTGGCCAACGATCCCACCATTGAACGTATCATTACACCACGTTTGGCTTTGACCGCTGCCGAATTCTTGGCCTACCAATGCGAGAAACACGTCTTGGTCATCTTGACCGATATGTCTTCGTATGCTGAAGCTTTGCGTGAAGTATCCGCCGCCCGTGAAGAAGTACCCGGTCGTCGTGGTTTCCCCGGTTATATGTACACTGATTTGGCTACCATCTATGAACGTGCCGGTCGTGTTGAGGGTCGTAACGGTTCCATCACACAAATTCCCATTCTTACTATGCCTAACGATGATATTACCCATCCAATTCCTGATTTGACTGGTTATATTACCGAAGGTCAAATCTACGTCGATCGTCAATTGCACAACAGACAAATCTATCCTCCAGTTAACGTATTGCCATCTTTGTCACGTTTGATGAAATCTGCCATCGGTGAGGGTATGACACGTAAGGATCACTCTGATGTATCCAATCAATTGTATGCCTGTTATGCCATCGGTAAGGATGTACAAGCTATGAAGGCTGTCGTCGGTGAAGAAGCTTTGACTCCTGATGATTTGTTGTATTTGGAATTCTTGACCAAATTCGAAAAGAACTTCATTTCACAGGTGAGTTGGTGGGAATTGATGATGACGTTTTTGTTTTTTTTTTGTTCTACAATATCCTCCATGATTTAATGAAAGGGAATAGGTAATGAGTTGAGCCAAGGATATTAAATCGCCAAAGTCTTTGAGTAATCAAGGCCTTATGTGTTATCCTTTTAGGATAGAATTATATGATCATAATATTATAAAAAAGGTTTAGCTGTAAAATTATGCCGTGCCGATTTGCACATGCTCGTCCATCAGTATATTTTTTTGTTTTCGTAAAGGATGTTTATGTCGAATTTATTATCCAATTGCGATTAAATTTGGCACGGTTCATTTAATAAGCACAAGGATGAATTAAAATTGGGGATTATTGGTTCAGATTTAAATATATAGCTCCCTTACATACTTTTCCGATTTCATTTAAATGGTGTACCAAAGTCCCTGTATATCTTTCGATTTGTACGAAATTTGGCATATCGTACTGAGTTAAGTTTCGTGAAAATCGGTTCCGATTTAGATATCGCTTCCACATATATTTTCGTCCAATTTAATGTAAATGGTGTACCAAAGTCTCTATATATCTTTCGACTTGTACTAAATTTTGAATAGCGTAGTGAAATAAATCCAATGTGTCAAGTTTCGTGAAAATCGGTTCACATTTAGATATAGCTTCCATATATAGTTTCGTCCGATTTAATGTAAATGGTGTACCAAAGTCCTTATATGTCTTTCGATTTGCACGAAATTCGGCATAGCGTACTAAATAAGTCCAGAATGACGTGTGTTAAGTTTCCATTAAATCGGTACAGGTTGGGGTTTAGCTCCAATATAAAATCCGAAATTTTTAATATCGTACTGAATTTAGTCTTGAGTGAACTATGCCAAGTTTCCATTAAATCTTATCAGATTTATATAAAGCTCCTATATACATTGTCGTCCGATTTCACGTGAAATTTTGCATAGGTTACGGATTTGAGTCTCTAATGAAGAATTTGCAAGTTTCCTTAAAATGGCTCCGGATTTATATACAGCTCCCATGTATATTTCTTTCCGATTTATGGAAAATGATGGGCGAAAACCTCTGTTTGACACGAAAATTTGCATAGTGAACTGAATTGAGTCTAGAATGACCTATGTCAAATTTGAATTAAATCGCTTCAAATTTGAACATAGTAAATATATACAAAATTTGTAGGATCTCATGTAAATGATTTTTCCGATTGACACGAAATTTAGCACAGACCACGAGAAATTAATTCTAAACTGACGTCTGCTAAATTAGCTTCAGATAGGTTCAAATTTCATTATAGATTCCATATATGTTTTCCGATTTTTTGTAATTATGGTGGATATTTGTAATTGGATCTCAAATGGATCTGCAGACCTAAATTTTATTTAAAAAAACACTTCTTTTTAATAATTTCTTTTATTTTCCTATTCCAGGGTAACTACGAAAACCGTACCGTCTTCGAATCTTTGGACATTGGCTGGCAATTGTTGCGTATCTTCCCCAAGGAAATGTTGAAACGTATTCCAGCTTCCATTTTGGCTGAATTCTATCCTAGAGATTCGCGTCATTAAATTCGTTGTTCGTTTTGATGGCAAAACACAACAACAAACCCTGTTTTCGTCGTTCATTTTTTGTTTATTTTATGTTGTTTTATTAAATTTGTATTAGTCTAAACTAAAAAAACCAAAAGCTTTGAAAGCTTTAATTATTAATTGTTGTTCAAATATGAAAATGCAATAATTATTATCGTCGTTATAATAACAACAACAGCAACAACAACAAATAATAGTGGAAAAAGCACCATATTCAGTTACCATTTAAAATAAAAGTATGTTAAATAATATAATTAAAGAAAAAAAAACAAAATAGTATTGATGGTGTCAACGAAAATGTTAGTGTCATTTTTTTCCAAATAAGCAAAACAAAACCTCCCCTTATAAATATAAAACAACAACAATAACTTACTTTCTAGTAATTGTAAATAAGAGCGGAAAAAAGTGTAAAGAAAAAACACAAAACTGCAATTTCTATTTTAAAACAAACTCTTTATAACATCAAAGAAACAAGTCGCCGCCCGTTTTTTGTTTTAAAACTAGAATTGTTGTAGTGTTTTTTTATCATGCACATCTACCTTGGAGAATATAATTGCCAACATCTTCATTTTTTCTTTTGTAGGGTTTAGTTCAAACTACTATGCAATAGCAAATTGTTTTAATTTATATTTATAAAAAACAAAACATCATTTGCGTTAATACCAACAACCAATATGTTTGTTTCTTTGTTAGTTTATAAGTTGAACAAAAAACAATAATGTATTAAATGTTTTACTTAGTTTTCTTCCTCTTTTTTCTTTAAATTTACTTTTGGTGCTGTCGCAAAAACAACAACATCAACAATACAACAGCATATGCACACTAGATAGTATAACATGTGTAAGTGGCATATATATAGAAGTAAAGAACACCTCTCTCTTGTTTCTTGAAATAAAAAAAAGACATCGTTCACATATATATAATCAGCATTCCAAATAAAAAAAAACACATACAAAACTTTTAAATCATCTTTTGTTTAATTTCTATTTTCAATTTTGTTGTTTCTTTTTCATTTTTCTTTTTTAAGCAATTGGAAAGTATTATTATTTTGTTCATTTCATTACTTTTCCCCTAAAATGTTTGTCCCGCATGTTTGTTATTGCAATTTTCCCCCTTTCACTATTCGTTTTCTTTTGTTGGTGTCTTATCACGGGATATTTTACATTGTTGTATATTTTAACTTACGCTACATACTTAAATACTATGGGGTATATTCAGGAGTTCTGAAATAACTAAACACAATAAATAATTATACCTAAACTAATACATAAATATATATGCATATTGTATAAATATAAATAACAAAGGTTCTAACAACAAATTCTATAAATATGATAATAAATAGAAAGATCTATATATGTGTTAATGATCATTATAAAAAAATAAATTTCTAAAACCCAACTGTCATTTTTAGTTGAAAGGTAATATATAATAAAGTCTATTGGGTCGCCTCATGATTAGCCCAATATATATTTCTCACGACGGTAAAATAAAATTTTATGGATGGGTATGAAAGGTTTTTTGTATAGAAGCAATAGCTTCTGGGGAGAATATCCCAACAAAAAACTAAGGGAACTGATGAGGATCAGTGGCGTGATCCGAAACTATAGTCTTCCCTGCCTTACCCCTCGGCAAACAATGCCATACATTCCCCACTAATAAATAGTTGTTTTTTTATAAAAACAACAAACTGGGATTCAGCCTGACTATTTTGCAAAAACAAAATACAAATGGTATCCCAAATAAACCGCCAACACTACTGAAGTTGTAGACGCAGGCACGGTTAAACTGTTTGGTTTGTTGCTGTACACTAGCAACACCAACAAAGTCGTTGTGAGCATTTGTCGCGATGTGACAACACACAACAGTGGGAAAGGTTTGGTATTGTTTGTAAATGCCTTGTTAACCTCGAAGTGAGGCTCCAGCGAAATTCTCATGCAGTTTATGTCGTTGGTCAACTAAGTACTTCGCTTTGTTACAAGAGACATTTGGGTATGAAAGGTTTTTTGTATAGAAGCAATAGCTTCTGGGGAGAATATCCCAACAAAAAACTAAGGGAACTGATGAGGATCAGTGGCGTGATCCGAAACTATAGTCTTCCCTGCCTTACCCCTCGGCAAACAATGCCATACATTCCCCACTAATAAATAGTTGTTTTTTTTATAAAAACAACAAACTGGGATTCAGCCTGACTATTTTGCAAAAACAAAATACAAATGGTATCCCAAATAAACCGCCAACACTACTGAAGTTGTAGACGCAGGCACGGTTAAACTGTTTGGTTTGTTGCTGTACACTAGCAACACCAACAAAGTCGTTGTGAGCATTTGTCGCGATGTGACAACACACAACAGTGGGAAAGGTTTGGTATTGTTTGTAAATGCCTTGTTAACCTCGAAGTGAGGCTCCAGCGAAATTCTCATGCAGTTTATGTCGTTGGTCAACTAAGTACTTCGCTTTGTTACAAGAGACATTTGGGTATGAAAGGTTTTTTGTATAGAAGCAATAGCTTCTGGGGAGAATATCCCAACAAAAAACTAAGGGAACTGATGAGGATCAGTGGCGTGATCCGAAACTATAGTCTTCCCTGCCTTACCCCTCGGCAAACAATGCCATACATTCCCCACTAATAAATAGTTGTTTTTTTATAAAAACAACAAACTGGGATTCAGCCTGACTATTTTGCAAAAACAGGATGAAAATAATCTCAATTGGCAATATCGCCAATTCTTTAATATTCCTTTCTTAGTTTTCGTAGTTTTTTGTTTTCATAGTACATCAATGATTTTTGGAACATATGTATATAGAGAAAATGTCCTGACTCCGAATCCGTTCACGATCAAATTTTTAGTTGATGCGCGCAAAAGTTATCGAGGTTTTAATTTTGGGCATAAGAAAAAATCTTAAAATTACGCCGTTTATTGATCAATATCGTTAATACATGACTTCCTTCGTAAAATATGAATATATTACAAAAAGTTACACACAAAAGTTACACAATATGCGAAAAATAATAAAAATATAGGAGATTACGACATTATTTTTATTATATTAATGACATGTATCAACCTAAAAATCAAATGATATCCAGCCTTTTTCTGGATGTCATTTCCACGTGAATTTACTCGCTCTTCCCCTTCGACTTATTCTGAACAACATTTTCCTGTGAATTTTTTCGCATTCTCGCTTTCGCCTTATTCTGAATGAAGTTCGAAAGCGAAAAAATTCGCCTTGGGGAAACATTTTGTGCGAAATTTTTCGCTAATAAATTCAAAGGGAGCTGACTAAAAAAACATAAGTAATAAATATTTTTATGAATCTTCTATCTAAATCTTTTGCGAAGCTTAGAAGACATCATTCTAGACTCAATTCAGTACGCTATGCCACATTTCGCTCAAATCGAACGATATATAGCGACTTTGGTGCACTATTTACACAAGAAACTATACCTGGGAGCTATATCTAAATCTGAACAGATTTTCACGAAACTCAGCATACACCATTCAAGACTTAATTTAGTACGCTATGCCAAATTTCATACAAATTGAAATATATATAGGGACTTTGGTGCACTATTTACCTAAAATCGAATGAAAATATATAACACACATAAATCTGGACTTAATTGAGTACAAATGTTGTGCAAATCAAAGGATATATAAGGACTTTGGTACACCATTTACATAAAATCGGACGAAAATATATATGGGAGATACATATAAATCTGAACCGATTTCAATTTCAATAGGGTTCGTCCTTGGGCCAAACCAATGAGCTGTTGAGTTATAAAGGGGTGAACCTTGGCTTCAGCTGTATTAAAAAACATGCAAAATTACCCTTTGATATGGGCAATATTGCTATTTTGTAAATTTGTCGTAAATTTACAAAATAGTGTAAAAACTCGCATTTTTATGTGATCAAAATATTTGCAACTTATACTATATGTCACCGATATTTAATTTTCAATTTTTTGTTAGTAATCGATATCATAACCACAAAGTTTAATAAGTTCTGCACATATTAAATGTTCAACTATGTCGTTTGAGATTTTATATCTCTGATCATTCAGAACAAAATAGATATCCTAATTTTTTAAGTTGATTTCCAATTTCGTACAATTCTTTTTTATTTTTCGGTCTACTTTTGAAATAGTCGTACGTATTCTTCCACCACTATGTACTACCATTTTACCGACTTTTTCTGAACTATACCATTTAGGGCCATACCAATAAGTTTGTTAAGAAATTATGCTACCAATTCAATAAAATTGCTTTGTTTTTCTTTATTAACGATATTAGGGTCTATTTTTAGCCTATATTATTTTAATAGTTGTAAAAGTCTCAAAATATTTTCATAGACAAGGAAAAAATAGAAAGTGTATTATGCAGTTGCAAATGTTTTGAACAGCCTAAAACACGTTTTTTATATTCTTGGGGAAAATAACAACAACCTATTGAAATATATTATTTTTTTTCAAGTATGTAGAAAGAAAACACTCAAAATCTTAGTTTTTATTTTATTGCACGGCAGTTCTAGTTGCAAATTTTTTGAGCAGCACTGTTCTCGATGTCCTCGAACAGTTTGGCATGGTATCGAAAGCCGGTCAGGACAACCATGTTTGTTTGATTTCACGGTCTTGTGAAGTCCTCCGCTAAAACGTTTTACAGCTTTGGAAAATTTTCTCATCGATTGGAGGAGTAGGGCCTTAAGTGTCCTAGCTACTGGCTGTATTTCCTTCCAGAGTTCGAGAGTGACTCAATCGTTGCCTACAATTTACTTGTTCCGGTCACAGTGTTGCTTTTATTAAGGTGGCTTGCATACTAGCCTGTTGACTTCAATAATAAGTTCTCACGCTCTTGTATTCCGACGATGATTAACGCTTTGATAGTCGATAAAAAACCACAGTCTGATTATCCTTGAAAACATATTCGTGGTTTCAAAAGTAAGTCCTGATTTAGATTAGGCGAGTTTACTTGCGGCAATTCTTATCGTTCT